CAGACCCCTTTTTCTGCCGCCGCCGCTGCAGGCAGAGTGAGCGCAATGAGAATCCTTATAAGTCAGAGGGGCGTCGAAATCAATACGGGAGGAATTTTAATGGACCCTCCTCTATGCCAAGCGGCGGTAGGAGGCCACTTGGAGGCTGTGAGACTGTTGGTCTAGCAAAGACAGCGGCTCAGAATCAACCAGGGTACCTTGACGATGCATGACACGGCTCTGGGGATTGCCGCCCGTGCGGGTGACCTGGAAATAGTCCAGACTCTGTTAAGACACAAAAAGATTGACCCCAGCCTGGAGAACCGATGGCTGGAGTCTCCGTTGGTGTTGGCAGTCAAAGGCGCACATGTCCTTGTCGTCGATGCTCTACTGGCGGATCCAAGGGTGGATACGTACAGTTTGCGAGTCGCACGAGCAATCGCGACACAGAGGGTATCCGAAGGGCCATTCAGTATGAGATGGATGATCGCAGAGCCCGCTGTGAATGGATTAAGGCACACTGGTCCCTGGCATAGTGGACGCGGGTAGTCTGCGTGGACGGGTGCTGAGGTAGTGCTGCTTGAGGTACTGAATGTGGGCTACAGAAAAGTGCCGACCAGCATTGATACACGATGCGCAACGTGTACTGCAGCGTATAGCAAGCATGAAAGGAATATAACCATTGATCTCACAATACGTGGTGGTAACCAGATTGCCTTTAGGAGCTGCAGAAACTGCATTGCTCTTGCCACAGGTTTTTCAACGTCGTGCATTAAAGGTCAGAACGTGCGTGGACTGTCTGTCAACACAACACGGGTGAAGTATGACCCAGGATAGTTTGATGGCAGTAAATCTCTCTCCCAGAGTGATATGCTGTATTTAAGATCTATGGAAACCCGCTCTGTTGTGCACGCTCAATCTTCCCCATTCCTCCCTAATGAATCCACTCACGGCATCCCCTTCACCCGCGGATCGGCCGGCCAAAAGACAGCGAAGACTCTCCGAGGACACTTGCAACGACCCGAACGCAGAGGATACTTCACCCGCCTCAGGCTCTACCGCAGTGAGCAACCTCCCTACGACGCAACTTGATCAAATCCTGCGCCGCAATAGCGACCTCGCCCTACCGGCCCTAAGACTCTTGGATTTGTATCTATGTCTATGGGAAAGTTATGTTGTGAAATCGGCGGAGAGCATCCGGCTCGAAGATGAGTGGCGTCAGATATGCGAGTTAAACGAATTGCTGGAAGAAGAGACCGATAGTCTCCTCCAATGCTGCAACCGGCAGGGAGTGGAGTTAGAGAGTCGAAAACGGACAGTGAAGGCATTCCATGTGAATGTCATATCGGCCTTGCAAACCATCGATCTCCCTTACTATCGCATTGATAGGCCTTGATTCATGCACAGAGCCATACGTCCTTTGTCCGTTTAGAGATATATATTCTTTTCGATAGTACAACTTCAGCTGGAACTTCCATGGAAATGTGATTTACTGTACCATGTATGTGAAGCAAAGCGAAGCTCTACGACCCCATCATTCGCTGTCTTGTGATGTTTCTCAAATAGCTTCCATGGCCTCAATTCTCAGCCACCTATAAGCTACTTATATCTTGTACTGTAACAATGTGATTTCTTATCAATGTATGGTTCCCTTTCACATAGGGATCTTCCATCGGCAAACATGAACAGTCTGGTTTTCTTCTTACAGCTATTATCGAATCAACCGCCCAACCTATCTTTTCGGCTATCTCCAAAAATGTCATCATTTATGATACAGTGTGACGTGTGAGATCGAATGGATCCGACTTTGAATATCAATGGGCAAAACATAAAATTGGACAAACACCACAACTTACTTGACTATCTCGTAGGTACAGTGAAAGATCAATTGACCAGGATTCTATCACTGACCTCGCTCACAATTCATTAGCCCTGCCACTTGGCCTTCCGAGCACTGCTCCCAATCATTGAGAATGCTGATCAATCGCTCCCGAGACGCCTCCAATGCTTGGTTCAGATGATCGAACTGAGATAGCTGCTCATCATGATGAGCCAGAAGCAGCCCCTTTTCATTTTCCAATCGTGTATTCTCCCTTTTCAACTCCTGGTTGGTTTGACGGAGTTTCTCACTGCCAGTATGTTTCGACATGCATGAATCCCAAAGTCGACGGTAGAGTCCCAAGATCCGAGCTGCTTGAAAGGCGAGTTTTGGATCATCCCGTTCAAGCTCTGCAAGAAGCTGTAGTATCGGCTGGAAGGGTTCTGCTGCTGGGGTTTGTTCGTCGTCGGCTGGCCGCGGGGAGACCGGCTGCGTTGGTTAGCATCGTGCATGACATTAGAGGTTAAAATTATCCTTACCTGAGTAGGAGTTCCTTCAGCTGTCATTTCCGGGTTCAGTCGCTCATCTGCGCTTGCATTTGGATCGGAATCGGTCTTTCCGTCCCCTTGTATGTCATGGCACACAGTAAAAGGATCCATTTCTATGTTCAAAGTAATATATTCAAGAACTTGGATACACGTAGTATGGATAGCTTTAGCTCCTTTTCATCTAATTTATAGCCACAACGACCGATAAAGGCCGCAAATTCGGTTCTCCATAATGCTCGATACTTGGTGATGTTGTTATCACCAATCTTAATAGCAAGGAATATGCGGTCAACAAATAACACAGTTTGAAAGAAGTGAAGCAACGTTAACTTGGTAATTACTGACAAAAAATGAAGAACTTCGCGCAAGAAAACTTTGAAGTGACAGTCGGAATAGGCTTTGATTGTCTCGGCGTGGAACCATCACCGACACTTCAGCTGTTGAAACAGTGATAAATCAGATGTCGCTCAAACATGGTTTTTGCGTTTTTGCTATACAGTACTTGTAAATTGAACCAACGGGATGTTGTCAAAAGTCTTCCGGGCAAGAAAGAGGGAGATTTCTTTACTTCCGCCGATTTGCATATCGACGTTTTCTTTTGTATATCTGCTCGCCGTTTGTATCAAGCTACTGGCGGCCTCAGTCTATCACACACTCAGAATATTGCCGCCCAAATCTCTCCCGTCGCAGATTGTCCTTTGGATTATGCAATTGCCACTGTCGTGTTTCGCTTTCTTCTACTCTGTACAAAGCAGCCATCAGTCACAACGCGATACCCCTTACGTGCAATTCCCAAACGATTGTTTCCAAATGAATTCGCATTTTTTGAGTCAAAGATCTCTCATGAACGAGTCGAACGACCAATGGCCCTTGATTCTCGAAAAGTGCTTCATAACACGTCCTATCTGTGTGCCCTTTCCACAACCGTCGCTTGGGATGTTTAATTCAGGAGATACCATGCGGCAGATTCATCGAAATGATCTCTTCGGTTGCGGCTTTCAACGACCAGGACACGTTCCCGATCTTAGCTTCATCCATTGCGAGCCGATCCCTGTCATTTATTGGCTTGAACATATGTCGCATTCGTATCCTTTCGGCCCCTCGCAGCCATTCTCCAAGCCTAATGCCTGTGAGGCAAAGATGGCCCCTACCTGCAACCCCCGTTCTATGCGACTTGATAGCAATGAAGTGCTTGCAATGAGCCCAGTTTCTCTAGGGCCTACAAACGCCGCGTCTCTGTTTTCCCCTTAGGTACCTCCGGACGGGAGCTTCCGGAAATTGCCACACAAAATACTCCAGCGGCAGTTCAAGTGTACATACCTGGGCTGTGACCGCCAATTCAGGCGCCGAACGGCCTTCGAGAGACATCTGACCTGCCACTCAGATGAAAGACCATACGTATGCTGGGTGCCAGAATGTCATCGCAGCTTCAAACGCTCGGACAATTTGGAAGCACACTACCAGACTCATGCCAAAATGGGCGGTCGCAACCGCTATGTAGCAACCTTGGACAATACGAGTCCTACCTACGACCCTAAGTTTCGCGGTCGATTGACATTGGAGGGCTGGCCGGCTTTTTCTAATATCGAGAAGATTCAATTTCGAGAACATGATGTTCATGTTACGCCATGACCACCCCTTCCGTTTCATGGCTTGCGTCTTGAGGTCCCGGCCGCTTTAAAGTATGAAATATTTCCCCGAAGATGTGAGATGAATTTGCTTTTGCCCCCAAAATGATTTTCCTCGCCTGCCACCGGTTGCAAATAAATAATGTATAGCCGCATTTTAATGTAATTCGCGTGTGATGCATGTAGTAAATATTGATATAGGGAGTGGTTTTATTGGGGTTGCCTCACAATGCCTGTAGCCTCACGTGATATCTACACCGACATTACTGAGGGCCTCTTCCTCCCACAACTGCTTCACGAGAGTCAGTTGCTTGCCTCTGCGGGTAGCTCGTCATCTCTCACGCAGTCAAGTCTTGATTTTGTCCCTCCCGCCTTCCCTCTGTATATAGAATCCACTACAATACAAACACATTGCCTCCCTTCAGGGGAGCGCGGACGGGCCCTATCTGACGCTACGGTCTACGACCGCAGCAACAGGTGACCCGTTACGGCCAAACCACACTCTTCTTGCTCCTCTTGACTGCGTGAGGTCATCAATAAACTAGCCATGCTATCAATCCCGCGGTTTCTAGAACCCTTCTCTGGAACCATGAACCCCCGAAGAAATTGCCCATCCCGATAAATGTAGTGGCAAGGAATAAATGATCGACCTATCGCCCGGGAATTATAGTAAAAGCAGACAACATCATTACATTAGACACCAATCAACCAGTTTGTGCTTTGAAACTCTGGCTCCCTTTTGTCAGATCCATTGGGTTGAATATTCGTGTTATCTCAATAGGAGCAGGGCTCTGATATAAGCTTCAGGCATACAACGAATTTTTATTTGATTTTATTCCATTTCATCTCATTTTTGTGCTAAAAAGGTAGGCTGCTTGTAAATTGTGAATCGGAGACCTGGGCAGCGAGGTGCAAGAAAAGACCCGTGCTGGGCTTAGGGCTTCATAGTCAAATGGTAGCCTTGATTGATAGAACAGAAGTAACATAGCCCAGCAAAAGCTTTAAAAATCAAACACGTTTTTGTGTTCAGCAATCTGTCGTGTTCAAAGAGCTGTTCGGGCCCGAGGGAGTAGTCGGGGCCGCCGATGGCGCTGTCACTGACACATGGATGGTTGTGGTAGACAAAGAAGTCAGTTGGGATTCAATGTCTTTCGTCGAAGTCCTTGCTTTATTGCTGGCGGTACACAAGCTTCCCTTAACCAGGGGATCCGCGACCTTGCAACTTACCGCATCCCCTTCTTCATTATGGAAGTTGATCAAGCCGCTTCGATGTACCTCAACCCATGCGGTACCCTGATCAGAGTCACATAGTATGGCTTTAAATGACGATGAATTAGAGTGTGTGCCTTTGGTTTCTGGGTAGAGGTCTCAAAGATGTCAGAAAGGTTTCTCCTCGGGAATGGATTGCGTTACTTACTGGAACATGATATGCCATCAAGAGGCGCAAACGACTCCGAGATCCCGGTGCAGTCGAAGTTCCCCGTAGAATACACAAAACATTGATTATTATGGTCAATGATCTGAAACATTCCGCCAAAGACCGTCGAGATAAGAGTAGAGTAAATAAACAAACGATACATGTCTCTTTCGCTTCTGGAGATGGGGTGTCTTCAGCAGACCAGGATCTGTCCTGCTCTTCAAACCAGGCATTTTGCGACACGCGCGAAACTACTTATAGCTCCGTTTCGAATAAAGCTGCAGGAGGTTTCGTGCATACTCTATTTCCGATAGATTTTACATAGCCATCAAAATTTTGACTTGGCCAAAGAACTCATACTGAATGTATCTATAAAGACTTTTTTATGATGAGTTGTCGTGGAATTATAAATTGGAATCGATTCACTTATCAATAGCTGAAAGGCCTCAAGCTTTCATTGCTCCCATAAAATTGATACAATAATGTTGGCTATCAAACAAAAATACAATCATCGGTAGAAGTTTTATGCGCTCTTTGGCTACGGACGTACCGCCCCTTTCGCAATTTGGCGGCCGCTCAAGGGTACCCAAGTTGCCAGATAGAACCTCAAAAATTCTATGAAAATTATCAAAGAGGTGCTGAAAAAAAAGAGACTCACTGACCCCCAAAGCGGTGTTTCTAGTCACAACAGCTTTTAATTACCGGTCGTTTGAGATCACTCAACAGGTTCTTCCCAGGTAACCACAAACGTTTCCCACAATGCCTTGCTGATAGATTCTGGTTTTCTCGTCTATCAAGAGAAATCTTTAGGATTTCGCGTGGCTGCTGCTGAAAAAAATCAAGATTTTACAGTCATATCACAATAGTCCGCCATCCCAGCTATCGGCAGCATATCAAGCCTCTGATTTGACAGATTGAGTGTCCGAACTTGAAACAGTCATCCTCCGAAGCTTGAGACGGCCACAATCTGAATGACCATGTTACTCACTTACTGCATTTTCCTTTTTGGAGCAGCTGCAACAATTCTCGGACAAACAGTCAGCCTCCTACTGCCGGGATTTCAAGGGCGTGAATTGGAAGCGAGCATATTATCTACCGTATGTGAGAAATGCCGAGACATTGGGATTCAGGGCTCTGACATAACTTTTAACTACATTCTAGGATGATGAAGCGACAACGTTCCTTGTGACTTGCCCTCAAACCGTCGCTGCATCTGACTGCGGCGTTTCTGAAGCAGGAATGACGGCTATCCTTAAGGACTCCGTAAAGCTGGTGGATGTCAACAAAAAGAATAGGTCGGTACCCTGTATACACTCAAAGAATTTTTGATATTAATGAATCATTGCAGCACCGCGTCCCTGTCGTGTCATATTACCGGAACAACTTACGCATCCTGCTATGCTACCAACAAGATTTCGGTTCACGCCACACTAGCCCCGAAAGACCTCAACTGGATGGCAATACCAGTCATGTCCGCGATATCAACTACAACAGGTGCAGTAAGCTCCTCAATCTCCACCCAGCAAGTTATGGTCACATCTCCCGTGAAGCTGCCATCAGGAACAGAAACGGCTACTACACTGGCAGCTCAGAGCCAAGGAACATTCTGGCTCAAGACCTCATGGGGCTTATATGCCACAATGGGATCGATTATGGCTGGAACTCCGGGATACACCTTGCTTTTCCCATTGATGGGCTCGCAATTTCAATCTTGACAGTGACCAAAGTCTGGTAATTCACTGCTCAGGCTCGCTTGAAAGAAACGGCACCTGCAGCTCGTTCTCCTTTGTTGATACCGGTACCATTTCATATCAGTCATCTTGTATAAATGATGATCAGTCTAGATCATACAGAAGGAATCGTGTCACATATAGATACTCAGATGAGCAGGAAGACACGATACGCTACTGTGTCTAGTGAGGGCCATTTCCTGTCCAAAAAAGAAGTCACTTTTGCTGCTTAAGGGTGCCGAAAGATAAGATTTTAGAAAACTTTCGATGCAGACGTCCTTGATTTGAAATCTTTTAAGTTGTGTAACAGAGCCAGATAGGCGTATTTCCAAGTTCATAATCATGGACCGGACGTAAAGAGTTCTCCCAAGTATGGCTTTTCCGGGACTCACAACACTCGTGCAAGTATGAATTCCGCATACGCAATATTTCAAATGTGTTCGATGGGGTTTAAAGTCCCTGGACAGAACTACAGTGTTGTTATAGTAGTTACAGTACTGCAGTGCTAGGGATGATAGAATTTCGAACAAAAGAAGTTGAGCTCCGAAGCAAATACACCTGATCTTTGAACACCTGGTGAGGCACTTTATCCATCGGTAACCTGCTCCGAAGAAAACGCGAGACACACCGACTTGCCATCCAGTTAGATGAAACTGACTTCAATCTGAGTATTCAGCTCGATATTGCATAGAAATTTGGTGGTGAGCATTCGATATTGAATAATGAGACGGCATCCAAAACTTTCTCGTATTAGATACATGACCTTGGCGAAGAAGACAGATCCTCGCTCACATTATACTCATGCGGCATCTCGCGCTCCCACGATTGCCACAAGACCAAATACTGTACCACTGAAATTCCATCTTCCGAGATCAAGCGAGAGGCAATGGCGCTAATCGGTATCTTTTTGCCGACCTGGTTGCTCCCATTAGCTCGGCAGCCCAAAGAAATCCCATGGGCACACTTACAGTGCTCGATGTCTCCTGACCATCCATGAGGGGGTGTATGTAGGGAAAACTGGATCCTAGCGACTCTTCGTCGGAATATGTGGCATCATCGCTCTCTGATGCCACAAATCTGCGATCCTCGCTGGTTTCCGACATGTCACCTTCTGTGGAAGTAGAATCGTCATCCGTCTCTTCAATATTCAGGTCTCCGTAACTGGATAGGACCTCGAGGATCTCACTGTCACTTTCCTCTCTTTTCTCTGGCATTTTTAAAATGAAGTGCCACAACTGACTTGGATATTTCAAGCAGGGCAGAGATCATCTCAATTTATAGAATCATGGGCGTGCGGTAGTACTCGGTAGCTTGAGGTTGAAGATATGTGATTATAGGTGAGGAACATAATGCTAAGTTCTAAGAAAAAGCAAAAATAATTTTGCGATGTGTTGGCAGGGACCATCACTGGGCATTAAGATGGTTGAATCACGGAAAGCGCTGACCCACCAGAGGCCCCTGGTTGGCCCAGATGACTCGTGACAAATCATTTGCCTCGTCAACGTTGGTGACGCGGGTGAAACGAGTACCACCGCGGTCAGTCTGCGAGTCGGCCAGAAACAGCGTGTCGTGGACTCATCTCAACAAGATGACTTGAATTAATTGATGCACACCCCAATTTTGTAAAGATATTGATTCTTGTCGACAACTTGGGTTCAACTGTTGCGTAATGTTGAGCACCAACTGTCGACGATGCAGAATCGTCGCAAGGCCATGACTGAAGACATCAATATATGATCAAAATCCTCATACTATCTTGAAGCCAGGCGGCGATGGAAAATCTGTGGCACGGCCCATGATGATACACACACCTAGGTGGAAGGGATGGCGCAATCAGCCGCAGGATTGGTGGTGGTTGACCATCGTTCTCCCATTAAGATCCTTTCGATCTTTGCTTGGCTCTATCTTGATATCATGACGTTGGTTACCGTTATCTAGTTGGCCATGCATTACCGTACAGAGCTATGCGCTAGAGTTACAGAGGGACGGAATATAAATAGCCGACAAAGAGCCTAGTTTCTCAGGGACATCTACCCCCCCTGCAAAAGGATGGCCGACCGCATGGAAATCGACTCCAGTGACGATAGTCGCGAGATGACTGACGCGAATCAGCAACTTGAACGCGAACTTCTTCAGTGCCACAAAGGTTCATCTCCAACTGCTGTGCATTCGCGGCGAATTGTCTCGCTCGGGGTTTCTCCTCATTACGTGAGTCACTGGACCTCTACCGATGCCTTTCGGGAACTATATCAGAATTGGTATGTGTCTGTCGTCTTGTCGGATCATGGGGCTAAATCATAAAACAGGAAGGACGCCATATTGGAACGGTTCTAGATCGATCGAATCGCCTTCCGGCCATATTTCGTCGACGCCTGCGATCATTACGCCGTCTTGGTACCAGACCCCGCGGACCCCAAGGGCCGCCGATCCCTGGGATTCATTAATTATGACAAAAAGTCCAGTCGGGTCACTTTGGCGAACGCCTGCCTGCAATTGCCCTTTGAGGCTCTCGAGTTGGGCTTCACGACCAAGGGCGACCAGAACCAACTGGCGGGTTCCCACGGCGACGGACTCAAGCTGGCAGCCGTGGCTCTGTCTCGGGATGGGTATAGGTTGCAAGTGGCGGCCAGCCGGTGTTCCTGGAATTTTTATTTGCGGGAGCCATGCAAGTCTCGCCTCCATTGCACCATCACCCCATCGCGCCAATCTGGGTCCACCCGGACGGACTGGGCCGAAGATATTGCCGGACTGCGCTTCCACCCCGAGCGAGATGTGGCCGTGCTCATCGGCCCTGGACGCACCACCCAGGGTCGGCCGGTGGCACCTGAAGAATTTCTTGAGTGGCTGCAAATATCGTTGGATATTCGTGGCCTCGCCTACCCGTCCTCGGTTGTCGAGACAAGCCACGGGGACCTGCTTTTTGACCAAAATCTCCTTGGTAGGATTATTTATGCGCACGGTGTGCTAATCTCTGGAACAAACTCGATTTACCCGTTCAAACTTGGTTATAACTTTACAGAGGGGAAATTCAATCGCGATCGGCGATGGCTCATGGACCGGCATGGACTGGCAGAGCGAGTGTGCCGGATCTGGGAGTCCGCCCTCCAAACGCACGAGGACGTCCTTCTTCCGATATACGTGAGCCTCCTCCGAAAGACACCAGCGCTGATGGACGTTAGTCTGGCTGCTGATTTGCTCTTACCCTCGACAATATCTCGCATCTGGACGTATTTGCTACAGGAGTCCAAGGGCAAGGACTTTTTCTATTGCGAAACATCCGGAGCCCAGGTTTGTCGGAAGTCCAATATCCGTATCCCTTGTCACAGGCTAATGCAAATCTAGGATGTCAAGATGATACGAGAGACCATTGGAAAAAGGCCGATGAGGCTGTCACGAGAATTGTGGCGCCTACTGCGGTCGACTACGCCTATCCGCAGTGCTGCGGAAGAACTTTCAATGCTTTTCCAAAATGCCGAGGTCTGTAGCCCCCCCGAGTACTACTTTCTCGAGAACTGTGCGGAAGGCACTGAGAGCATGTTTTGCCTTGCTACATTCGATGCAGGAGATTCAAGTGGTTTACGTCAAGGGGTTCGATAGTAGGGCGGATGTTGTGTATAATCCTCAACAAAGGACACTGAAGGTCCACCGCCGATGGCTGGACTTTGACGATACACATCAGCGAACATCGTGCCGGAACTGGATTCTTCGTAGTGCGAACAAGGAAAGCGGAAAGCGCGAACCCTTCTTTTGCGGTCACATCATTGAGGAGCTTTTATCTCTTTCCATCTCGTCGATTTTTGGAGGCTCTCAGGCCCCTCGGACCACCGAGATGAGGTATATGCGCCATATCCGACGTCTACTCCGGTACATGCCACACCAGATCACTTTGGCGCCCTCGGAGCGCGGCTTGACGGTTGCTTGGGAAGATAATGAGACAGAGCTGTTTCGGAAGCATGGCCTCGATGGGGCGGCGTATAATGTGATACTACACGAGGAAAGCTGTATCGACATGAAGCAGGAGCTCCTGCACTCGGACCCAGGTAAGACTCTCTCGATCATCATTTAGGACTGACAATTAATTCTGATACTTGCCATATAGTTCTGGACTCGTCGGACCTTGCAGTCTGCGGGTGCCGTCAGCAGTTCGTTCCGCAGCGGACCAAACAATGCCTGTTCGCAGACTTGGATGAATTCAAAAGGTACTACGCGACGGTTTCACTCAACGAAAGGTCCGCATTGTACGGTCTAATAACGGAGTCTTTGTATCCCCTAGCAGTGGCGGAGATTGGACCCTCCGTTGTCGTCGGCGGTCAGCCTCTCGGTGATGTCCAACACAGGCACGGGCCAATCGATTGTTCGGGTCCGCCGCGGATCAAGAGAAAAACAGCTTCATCTGCCCAAGAGCCGAGAAGCAAAAGACGGAAGTATATGGACTGAGCAAGTCGTATCTTTTATCACTCTCGCATTGCTATCGCGTTCCGCTGTCCTAGTAACATCCGCTGTCCTATAACAACATGACGATTAATGAGAGCTATGGCGCACTTTGACACGGATTGGACGGCCATGACAGGCTGCATATTGACCATTTGGCCCCGTGTCCTAGTCGACATTCCCTTTATAAGCCTCGCGCCAGCGTGACAAAGTTCATCAATGTTAGCTTTTGGTATCTCCTGGCGCTTGAGACGAAATTAGCAAGATCATAGAGAATCGGCCATTCAGACGAGTCAAAATGACCGATTGACTGAATTCCGCCCACCCAACAGAAATCACACATGCAAGGATTCTTGGCCTTAGAGAAGGATAGAAAAGTCAAACGGAACAAAATGCTGTTAGATTAGATGATAGAGCCCATATGGGTGAGGGTGTTTCGTATAGCGGACGAACGGGACGTATAGTCGGCTTGGTCTATATGGAAAGAACCTCAACTAGTTGCTTTCGGAACGACATAAAGATGAACCGTCAGACCCACTCAAATAAGACCAAGGGCAGGAATCAGGACCAAGATTCACATTGAACGCTCCTCTGTAGTCTCATTGCATCTAGAGTGCATTGCCTCAAGCACCAGTCCCATTGTGGCTTGAAGGCAGTGCCTGGAAATACGTGGGGGGGCTCCCCGGAACCTGGCTCTCCTAGGAACTATGAATGCAATCTTGGGGGCATGAGCAGTGCTACTCTTACAATCCGCTTTGCGAAACTTCCATTCTTCGCAACGCATTCTTGTAGTAGGAGCTGCCTTGATAGATTCGACACGATGATTGTGTTAGCGGCACGACGCAAAATATAAACTCGCTTGGCCGCTCTTTTCACGAGGCCATCATAACCCTACGCGTAATCATATTGCCCTATCCTTGCTCGCCCTCCCAATATTCATTATGGTTCGTTACGTATATCCATTACGCTGGCAACTACATACTTAACTAGAGGCAGCCCCATCTGCGAGGTCTACCCAACCCAATCTTATACAGAGTTGTAGCATATCTCGAGAGCAGCGAGATATTTTCTCTTGCGAGATCATGTCGAAATCTCAGAGCCAGACTACAGCCGGCCATACTTGCAATCAACGTCGAATGTCAAAACAGCAATTTGCTCGGCCTCGCTGCCATGAACAACGATATTGATCTCGCCGAAAGACTCCTATATCGCAGGGCAGACGTCAACGCTTTCTTTCGAGGGAAGACCCCGGTGATGAGAGCTCTCAAGTACTCATCCTATGACGTATTGCAGCTCCTGCTGGGAAGCCCCACGCTGGATATCAACCTCCAAAACCAGGCGCAAGAAAGCGCGCTATGGTATGCCGTCACATACGGAACGTTTTCTGTGGTACAGAGCTTGCTGCAGGTCCCAAAGTTACAAGTTGACCTCCCGCACAGGCGAGGACGAACGGCACTCCATCTCGCGATCTGGTGGGGCAAAACGGGCCTGGCGCGTCTGCTCCTCTCCAGTGGCAGCGATCCTCTCACTACAGATGACTTTGGCAAGTCACCCCGCGCATGGGCATGGCGCATCGGCCGGCCGTCCATGAAGTGGATCTTTGTAGGCCCACAGGAAGCTGGGCACTCGCTCTCTTTCTACAGGCCATCCGCCGGTTATCAGACCACTGATAACAGCGAGCTGCCGCTCCACCAAGCAATAGCCCATGGGTCCGCAGACGCTGTCAAGCTACTTCTGACGCAAAAGGAGCTGGCCCTGGATGATCAGGATCACAACGGGGATA